GGAGGGAGGGAGGGAGGGAAGGAAGGAAGGAAGGAAGGAAGGAAGGAAGGAAGGAAGGAAGGAAGGAAGGAAGGAAGGACACATATCCTACCCACCCACTCACAGATTCAAAAGAGTACCTGACGTCATTGTGTGCAGCCATCACAAAAAAAACTGGATAAGCAAGTACAATGGGTACTAAATGGGGGTCAGAGGGAAGGCAGGGACTGGATATTTGCATGCTTATTAGTAGGAAGGGTAGGTAAAACCTGGTTATACAGGGGAGAAAAAGGGCAAAATCTGTGAGGGACAGATAGACATGGGGTGCCATACCCTGAGAAGGACAGACCCATGGCGAAGAATGCAGAACCCGAACTGAATCAGGAGAACACAAACACAAAATAAGGAATCGTGGTGGAAATGGGGAGAGAACTATATGCTCTGAACATGTCGGTGTTTTAAAAGGCAATGGTTATGGAAATGTTCCAGAAGAAAAGATGCTGAAGAATATAATACCCAACCCAAACATGGATGTGGGTCAAGGGAGAGTGTTAAAAATGAGGTCATTAGAATAATGGGTAAGACTGGAATAAGGATGCTAGGTTATTTACAAGCACTGTAATACTGTAAGTATATGACATTGATCACTGCACTGTGATTATGAAAGGGAATACTTCTATTCCTAGGAAACACACATGAAGAATTTGGGAGTGAAGGACCATGATGGATATAACTCACCTCCAAAGGTACAGAAAATTGTATCTCATGCTGGTTTTTGTTTTTGTTTTGTTTTCCAACATAGGGACTCAATAATGAAGCACATGAGATAATGTTAGCAATAGCTGCATCTGGATGTTCCCTGGACTGTTTTTATTTTTTCAACTTCATGTAAGTTTGAAGTTATTTGTGTGTGTGTGTGTGTGTGTGTGTGTGTGTATGTTTTAATTTTATTGATTTCAGAGAAGAAAGGAGAGGGAGAGAGAAACATCAATGATGAGAATCATCGATCAGCGGCCTCCTACACACCCTTGAGCCCGCAACCCGGGCATGTGCCTTGACTGGGAATCAAACTGTGACCTCATGCGTCAACACTCAACCACTGAGCCACACCCGCCAGGCTGAAGTTATTGTTTTTTAAAAATCACTCCGAAGAGTAAACAAGTGCAGATAATAAAAAGTTAGAAAACAAAAATTGAGAGCGTGATGATTCACCCTACCTGATTTCAGAGGACACTGGATCTTTGCCCCAGATTATCTATACTAATAAAAGCATAATATGCTAATTATACCGATGTCCTTCCGTACCACCTTCCAGATGAAGCCAGGGCTGCGAGGGAAGCTCGGGTCCCAGGTGCCAGAGGAAAGCTGGTGCCGGCAGCCGGAGAAAGGAAGGCCTACTCTTGCACGAATTTCAGGCCTCTAGTCTAATATAAATGCTATCAATGTAGTGAATAATAGAAAAACTACTCTCCCTTACACTCCCACCCCCTACAAGAAGAGACAGAATTCAGGTAGAGAAGAA